GCTCCGCCCACCCGCCCCGCGGGCTGCCGGGACTCGTAGTTCCTGCTCGAGTTGCCCACGCGCCGCGCGCACGGACCGCGCCGGCTCCGCCGGGCCGCGCTGAGTGCGACGCGATCCTTCGTAGCAAAGGCAGTGCGGGCCCCGCGTCGTCGGTGAGCTCCTTCGTTTACTTCACGAGTGATACTTAGGCACTGCGGACGGTGGAACGAAGGAAATGCAATCAATCAATCAATCATGGACCGCATGCATTCTGATTCTAGTTTCAGAAGACCTTTCCTGTTTGAAAGATCTGAGTTGATCACAGATACCTCTCAAGGCAGAACACAGGGCTGGGGTGGCAGTGGGGGACACGGGGACTTACGGCTTTTTCTTCGGCAGATAGGTTATATGTTCTTTCATGGGAATAAAATGCCTTAGGAACAAATGTATAATGTATGATAGCTATCGTCAGATCCTGGGAGTTAAGTTAGGAAGATGCGATTCCATTCAAAACAAGCTCCTGTGTAGGAGCCACGGTGTTTCACAGGACCCTAGTCTGCGGTGCTTTCCAATCTAGCACAGAACTGCACAGATAACTGTACTCTGTGTGAGATAGGTACTTGCGGAGACTTTGGAGATGATTCTTGTCTGCAGCTTTCATTCCTCAAAACAGTCTTATATCAGGTGTTTCACAGACAGATTTCACAAACACACCCAGCGCTGTGCCCTGCTGTATCTCAAATTGTAACTACCAATTCTGAAGCCTTGGAAACAGAAGCAGCTTTGTAAGGGGCGATAGCTAGTTGCTGATGATGTTGATTACAAAGGCCTCCACCTGGAGGACCTGTGGCTGACCTCCTGAACTTAGGCCTTTCTTAGCTTAATCCTTGTTGTATACCATCTTTACCTGGGGAACTTTTTAGTAAAGCTACACACAACATTCAGTCTTCTTGTCACTGGAATTCCCCTAAACTGAGAGCTGGAGCCTGGGAAGATTTATTTTATAAAGCTCCTGAGGTAATTCTGATTATGCAGTTGGGGTAAGATAACAATCTTACACATACATACACTGAAATATTAGTCACAAAGAAAACTGAAGGTTATATCATTTGCAAAATTATCAAGTTGAACAAAATAAGTCAAACTCAAAAAGCCAAATTCTGAATATTCTGGGTCATTGTGGAGTTTAGAGTTACAAGAACATAATTCCTTCATGTTATAAATGTATCTTGAACTGGTGGCCTACGCCTGTAATCCTAGCTACTCAGAAGGCTGAGATCTGAGGATTGTGGTTCAAAGCCAGCCCAGGTAGCAACATCTGTCAGATCCTTTTCTCCAATTACCCAGCACAAAACCAGAAGTGGTGCTGTGGCTCAAATAGTAGAGCACCAGCCTTGAACAAAGGTGCTCAGGAACAGCACCCAGACCCTGAATTCAAGATCCATGACTGACAAAACATTAAAGAAAGAAAAGAAATGTATCTTGATGCAAATATTAAAAATTTAAACTACTTCTGAACTTTTTAAAAAGAGAGTCTATAAATAAATCCAACTCTCAGTAAATATAATCTGGATTCCTGAAGTATCACGGTATCAAAGTTAATGGTAAACAAGTTATTGATTTGAGAGAAAAACAGACATACAGATTCACACCCTTGAACTAATGAAAATGAGTGAGAAATTATTTCCGATCAGGTGAGACATTTCTGATTGACAAATGGACTTATTTTATTTGTGATTTCTAGACATACATCAGAGGACTGATTGACCTACAAAGCTAGACCACCCAGAGAGTTGCTTGTCTGGATGGAAAGGCTGGAATCCTTTCCTCTCCATCAAGAAAGCCTTTTTATATTACATTTATGGCTCCCTCTGGCTATATTTCTGCCAGCAACCCAGACCTTTTTCTCCCCTTTTTTCTTATCACAACTAGTGTGTCTCATAGTCTTGTTCTTTGACAGAAGCCAAGGACAAAGTGTACAAATCCATGAACCAGAAGTACTTCTCTGCCATGTCATGGTTTTCCATCAATAACATTTTGTCGTTATTCAAACTAAGAGTGAAAATAACTTAGGATCTGGTGGTTCATGTCTATAATCCTAGGTATTTAAGAGCCTGAAATCGGAAGATCAAGATACCAAGCTAGCCTGGACACACAAATTCAAGGGACTCCTATGTCCAATAAACCAGCAGAAAGCCAGAATTGGAGGCCTTGCTCCAGTGACAGCGTGCCAGAAAAAAGCCAAACAACAACAGGAGGCCCAGAGTTCAACTAGTACTGGCAGAAAAGGAGGGAGAGGAGGGAGTAGTGGAAGAAGGAGAAGAGGGGAAATGGAGGAGGAAGAAGAGAAGGAAGAAAAGGAGGAGGAGGAGGAGCAGGGAAAATAAATACTCCATAGAATTATATACATTATGTTGGAATTTCTATCATTACCCCAGGAAATTTTTGTTTTGGAGAGAACACAAAGAAAACTATGACATTTCTTGAATTATAAATTCTTACTCTAGCCACACTTATTAGTTAGACAATCATTTTTCATATTGATCACTAACAAATATAACTTACTATATAGCTGGCATGGTAAAATATTGCTAAGAAAAAAATTATGTCCTACAAGTGTCCACTCATCTCCCAGGCAAACTGAAATATTAAAACATATGTCTTTAATGTGCCAAGACCTAGAAGCTAATGATGAGGGTGGCTTGGTCAGAGTCTATCCCATAATGGTTGTGATTGCTTTCAAAGAAGCTCATCATTCTTAACAAATACTACAAAGTCAGCCTTGTGAGGGATCAGAGCTGAGTTTTACTGGCAACTCGAGATTTTAAGAGTAAGGAACTACAGGTAATGATGTAAGCTGAAGATCTTCCTGGTGTGTATAATTATGTAAATGAGGTAAGCAGTCTGGGATGGAAACCACTATGAATAGTCCTAGCTCAAAATTCTATAGTAGTTGTGTCTGAGACTAGAGAGAGAATACCACTGCTCAGTTTATACTTGCAACAGTCCTGTGAGAGTCACAGGGCCATCTATATCCATTTGAAACATATTTATTGAGCACATGCTATGTATCAGACACTGTTCATGATTTATTCAATTTTTTTGCTTCATACAGCCATCTTGAAACAAGGAACTTATAGACACAACTATTTTTCAACTATCTAGTTCCCCTATTCCTCCTGAGTCAGTCAGGAATGCTTCTACCACCCAATTTGTATATATATCAAGAAATCTGGAGACAGATAGCTGTTAACGTTTATTCAGCAACTCTGTAAGGCTATGGCTAGTAACTGTGTGATGGCTTGATCTTTCCAGGTGCTTCTAAAATAAATGTCAAGAGTTCTAGGATTTTAGTTGTACTTCTAGTAAGGGCAGAAAGTATTGGGAAAAGAACAATGATGGTTAAGCCCATTTTCATGAGGAAAGCAAAGGTTGGTTCAGATATACCAAGTAGCAAACTTCCCATTACTCAATAACGTGACTATCTCTAGCTGCAAGGAAAAAAAGAAAAGAAAAAGGAATTAACAATGAAAGCCAACATCTTTCAACCCTTCTCCCATGTTTTGTGTACTGAAATCCTACTTTACATTTCATATGACTTCCATTTTATAAAATATTTCTATTTACTTTGTCTTACTTTTCCTTGCAAAATAATGATGGGCAGGGGCTGGGAAGGTGGCTCAGTGGTAGAGCGCTTGCCTTGCATGCATGAAGCCCTGGGTTTGATTCCTCAGCACCACATAAGCAGAAAAAGCCAGAAGTGGCGCTGTGGTTCAAGTGATAGAGAGCTAGCTTTGAGCTGAAGAGCTGAGGGACAGCACCCAGGCCCAGAGTTCAGGACCCACGACCAAAAAAAACAAAACAAAACAAAAATAATGATGGGCAATCTCAGACTTGAAAAAGTTAAATAATTACTTTCTAATTCATATGTCAGACTTGGGATGTAGATTTTGATTCATAAACCAACATCCTGCCTCACCTTTAAAAAGTAGTTCTCTGGAATTATTAGCATTTATGAAATAAGTACATTCCATGTGAGAGAGAGAGAAAGTAGGGGAAGTATTAGGCAGAGAGGATAGAAGATGGTGGATATAACACATGGCCAATAACAATGTATCCTGTCAAGGTATTTCTTTTTTTTTTTTCTTCAAATTCTTTATTGCGATTAAGTAATTACATAATTTCCCAAATTTCACAGTATTGTGGGATAGTGATGCTTAGTTAAAGTCACAAACACATTCTAACCTCCATGGGGCAAATTGTCTATCATGGTCTATAGCATTTATGAGTTCTATGAGCTTTGCAATACAGTTATTTCTTCCACATTGGATGGTATGTACATTTCTTTTGTTTTGCATAGCATCAGCTGTTCCTTCTTTCCCACTTGTTCCCTCCTTCCCATCGCTGCCATTGAGTTGCTTAGTTCATTTTGATCAATGTCCAGTGCAGCTGATGGGTCCCGCTGTTGTATGTTTTTCCCTGTTTGCCTCTAGTTCTGTGTTGTCCTCCTGG